GAGCCGATCCCGCGGGCGGGGAAGGGCGCTCCCCTCCCCCACGCCGCCCGGCCCGGCCCGGACCCCGCGCGCCAATCCAAGCCTCCTGACACCCAGCGCCGGCGAATCAGGGTGCAAGCGCCGCCCTCAGGTCCCGCCTCCGTGGCAGAGTTGGGGAAAAAGTTCAGCAACTTTTTTCCTTCTTTTTTTTTTTTTTCCTTGTCTACCCCTCCCCTTGCTCGAAGTTGGGGACGAAATTCGGCCTGCCCGCAGCTCGCGGGCTGGGACGTGGGCGCCCAGTGATCCCCGCTTGGGGACGTCTCAGCTTCCACCCAGCCCCGGATGCGTTCACCTGCCCTGGGGACCCCGGCGGGGACCCTTGCCCTTCCACCCCTGACAAGCATTGTGCCGCCCACCATCTGCACTTCATCTGGGCTTCCAGAATTTGGCGTGGGAAGGGAAAAGCTTGGCTAGTGGTGCCCAAGCTCCATGGGCTTGGGGCCTTCGTCCCGCCGTGAGAACTCAGGTGCTGGAGGAGGAGGAGCAAAGTTGAAAACCCGCCAAGCCTGTCCAGGTCGTCTGGCGTCTTCCCCCTACTCCCGCTCGGTTCCCTGTAGCCGTCCCTGGTCTTTTTCGTTCTCCGAGCCTGCGGGCAGCTTCAAGCCTGGTATATTGTGCTGTCCCAGGGTACAACAGAGTTAGGAGACACTAAGCCATTGCTCTCATTTTGCACACGGGGAAACCGAGGCACGGAAGCGTTAGCGCTGCCTTGCCCGTGCCTGGGTCGTTGGCACCCGCGTTGGCTTTCTCAGCTATTCTCTTCCTTAAAACGTTTCCCCTTTTCTGACCACCCATGCCGGGGTTGCTGGACCGCAGGTGTTGCCCAACCGCGCCAAGATGAGGGGGTCCATCTATGCTGTTCTTCTGTAATCTCGCGTCTTTATAGTCCACCCATGCCCGAGCTGTGGAGCCACGTTCCCCAGTCCCATTGCTTGCTCGGGTATCAAGGACTCACCCTCTGCTGACTCGCAGCGAGAGACAGAGAGACATTCGCAAATGTTCCTGGACCCGACTGGGGCGGAGATCCTGTAGTACTGAGGCTGGGGTTGTGGTGCTGCTGTCACCAACCACTGGGCCCGGTGTCTCAGTGGGGAGCGGTGTCATCTTCCTAGCACGCGACCGCAGGGCGCAGGGTGGCCACCCCCAAGGTTAGCGCCCTGGTATCCCTGCCCTCCGTGGTCACCATCCGAGGCGCAGGAATCCAGCTTCAGTCGCGTGTGGCTCTAGAAGACGTTTAGTCCTCAAAGCAGTCCGTTCAGATGCTGTGCGGAAGGCAGCTCCGGCAGCTGTGGCTAACCCAGTTAAAGGGGGCTCTCTGGTCAGAGTGTCACCACCTAGCTCTGAACAGTGGGTTCTTACTGAGCCCAGACTCACCTTTTTTAGAGCCGACTGAGTTTATGAGTGCATCAGTAGGTGAGAAGTTGGTGTTTTTGCTTCAGCGACTTTCTGCCAGACTGTTCCCCCAGCCTCACGTCGAGTGGGCCATTAAATCCCCTGTAAAGGAACTCTTCAGAAGCAGTCTGTCTGACGCCTGCATGTTCAGTGGTAGGGACGTACTCTTTCCAATCTGTGGTCTACAGGGACAGTCATGGCACAGGTTTCTGAGTACTAAGTGCCTGTAAGGCAAACGGTGCAAGAAGCAGCTGCCACCTCTGGGGACATGTCACAGCTGGCATCTCATTTCCTACTCCACACAGGTGTTACAGCCCGAGTTATAACTTAGAAAGCAAAGCAGAGCATTTTGAAGTGACGAAGCCTAGATCTTGCTGTGACAAGGCTGGGATTTGAAGCCAACAGTCTTGAACCCCTGGGGGCTTTTCACTGAGAGGCATGTTATCCACTGGTCTGGTTCTTGCTCGCTTCCCAGAGTAGCTGTGCTCCATGTTTTAGAGAAGAAAACTGAGACACCAGAAGATATAAGTGATGGCCAAGTTAGCTGTTGAGTCAGAATTAGGATCTTGTTCTGCCTGTTCCCAGCTCATCTCCCCCATTCTATAGGTTCTGAAAGGTCTTGTGGAAGCCATGTTACATCCTGTAACACCTCAGGCTGACCTGTACCTGTTTTAACCCCTCCCCGACATAAAGAAATAGAAAAAATGGGATATGCTTAATAAAAATTGGGATATAGGGGAACAGCAGTTAGCATAATGACTTTGTTGCTGGACTCCCATGTAGTTGACTGTGGTTCGAGTCCTGGACCTGATGGCTTAAACTCATGCCAGGCACGTGTGCATGCATGCCCAAGATCCCAAGAGGAGAATGGAGGAGAAGGGATTGTAATGTGGCCATCCTCCCTGGGGGGTGATTTCTCGCTTTCTTTCTCTCTGTCTCTCTCTGTCTTTCTGTCGAGTGCACATGCCCTATAACAACAACAACAAAAAAAATTGGGATATAGGGACCAGCAGGTGGCATGGTGGTTAAGGTGCTGGACACTCCAACCTAGCTGACCACAGTTTGAGTTCTGAACCTGGTCGCTTGCCTTCTCACTTTCCCTCTCTCTCTGTGTCTCTCTCTGATCAAATTTAAATAAGTGAATGAATACATAAAATTAAATAAAAATTATTTTAAAAATTGGGATATATAATTCTTGCTTAATGATAGTCGTGAAGTCTTATTGAAGCATGTGAAGTTATAACCAAACTCACTGAACATGATGAAGAGTGATCCAAAATCAGAGGGCAAGCAGGTGGTGTGGAGGTTAAGGTGGCTGGATCCCACATGGATGATTGCACTGTTTGAGTCTTGGACCTGGTGACTTGAAAATTACACCAGGCATGAGTGTGTGCATGCCCAAAATCCCAAGAGAAGAATGGAGAAGGAATTGCGGTGTGACTATTCCTTCTCTTCCCCTGCACTCACCCACCTCTGTCTCTCTGGTGAACGCATGCACCCTGTAGGAAAAAAAAAGTGATAACATGGAACCAGCAGTTAGCGTAATGGCTATGTTGCTAAATTCCCATGTAGTCGACTGCTGGTCAAGTCCTGGACCTGGTGGCTTAAAACTCAGGCTGGGTGCATGTACGTGCATGCCCAAGATCCCGAGAGGAGAATGGAGAAGGGATTGCAGTGTGGCCATCCCCCCTGGGGGGGTGCTTTCTCGCTTTCTGTCTCTCTGTCTTTCTCTGTCTCTCTGGTGAGCACACGCACCCTGTAGCAAAAATCTCTCCAAAAAAAAAAAAAAAAGAAAGAAAGAAAAGAAAAAAAAATACAGTTTTGAAGTCGCAAAAACCCTTTCACATAAAAGTAATAGAAAAAGCGTGCAGGTTGGCATGGTGATTGAGGCGCTGGACTCCCACATGGCTAACCGGTTCAAGTCCTAGATCTGGCGGCTTGCTTTCTCACTTTCTCTCTGGTCAAAGTAAAAAAAAAATAATGAAATAATTATTTTTAAAAAAGGTAATAGAAAAAGGAAGCTAAAACAATTCTACTCAGCACTGTGTAGGGAGTCAGGACTTCAGCGTGAGAGGGAAGGAAAGGTACAGGACTACTGAAGACTTTTCCTGTTACTGCACAACCGAAGGGATGAATTGGGACAAACTTAAAAAATCTTTTCTTCTTATTTTAGGATCAAATGCATTTTCCAGTTGTTAATTACATAATCCAAGGGAATATTTGTGCATTTATTTTTGTCGTTTTGTTGCCGTGGGACAGGTTTTCCACTCTGAGCTGCCATCCTCGGGCTGTGCGACCCAGAGGGCTGACAGGTTGTGCAGCACGTTTGGCACTAAATAGGGTGTTACAAAACCAGATGTCAAAGGTAATGGGGGGGGAGATGGACATTATTGGATGTGCTTAGATTCAAAGGTAGCATTTGGGATTTCTGAATCATGTCCTTTATCATTATTATCAGAGAGTCGTACAAGGGGCATGAAAAGGCAGGGCAGGCTGGGGGAAGGAAGGAGCGCTCTAAGCAGATGGGCTCTTAGACCTTTCCTGTCTTTCTTGCTGCCCCGCCTCCCAGGTGCTCAGATAACCAACTCTACTTCCGGACCCAGTAGGGCAGTGTGGGCTGTGCTTTTTCTACCACACATGTTGGCCCAGCTGCCACAAAATATCTGTCTAGAGCTTTAAATTGCACAGATCCCCACGTACTGAGCTGGATCTACTGAGCTGGATCGCAGCTGCCCCTGACCAGATCTCTACACCCTCCCCCACTCTGTGTGTGTGTGTGTGTGTTGTGTGTTCATATGTTGATTACTTTGCCTGCAAATGAATCATGCTTGAGTCATGCTGGGTTCACTCTGGGCAGGGTTTAAAGAGGATGGATACCTGGAAAGGACACACGAACGGGGAGAGGCCGGAGCTGGCATGTGTTCGCTGTGGAGCTAGGCTCGTCAGAGGTTGTCCCAGGCAGTGGCAGGCTGTGTGAATTCGCTCAGCCTCTCCTGTGACTTCCTATGGG